CCCCAGAAGTTGGCTGCCCCTCTGGCCTCCTTGCCTACACAGGCACCCTGTGGAAGCCCCGCCTACAGTGTTCTCCAATCCCATAGCAGGGCCCTGTCCTCTGTGCCAGTCCACACCAACTAGAACGCAGGCTCAGAGACGTGGAGCCCAAGCCACACGGCCTTGCAGGCTCATGCCCTTGCAGGCTCATGCCCTGGGGTTTCTACCACTGGGCTGTGCGAGCCTTTGCAAAAACTACCAAAAAAAAAAAAAAAGTTCTCAGCCTCTTGAGCCAGCTCGTTGGCCAGCTGGGAAGCTTGGGGCCCCTTGAGCAGGCAGAACATAACTGTCCACAGTCACTCACATGGCTGTCGCTCTCTCGCTGTACTCGTCTTTCACTGTCTAGAGCCCTGAGAGGTTGCCAAGGCCGGCCTTGCAGACTTTGTAGAAACTGAGTGTGGCTAAGATGGCAGGTGTCACTTGTCTGTCCTCTGGACCAGCAGGGCTGAGTTGTGGCCAGAACTCACACCCATGGGGCAGACCTTAAGAGAGACCTCCCGGTGCCAGCCCTGCATGGTGGCAGCCATAGAGGACCCCAAGGAGACTGTGCTGGCCCAGCCTGTGGAGCGGCACAGGCCTCCTCGGGCCCCCTGTAAGCTGCTCGGGCCGAACCCCGCAGGCAGGTGACCCAGCTGGCCATGGGCACTGCAGACAGGAGCTCTCCGCAGGGTGAGTGAACTCTTGGGGTTTTGAGCTGTCTGTTGTTTTGTCATTTGGGAGGCAAGAGAGGAAGAGCGCGTGCACTTGGCTGGCTCACACCCTCACGTGCCTGCAGCAGCACATGTAGCCTGGTACTGGAAACCAAGGCCAAGTCATCTGTGTGGGTGGCAGGCATCCTGTATGTCCACACTGCTGCTGCATCGCAGGGCCTATGCTGGCAGGAAGCTGCAATCCAGCCAGAACCAGGAATTGAACCCAGGCACTCACGCCCATATGGGAGGCGAGTGACTGAACCAGCCCCTGAACTGCTGGACCCAACACACGCCCCAGGCTCTGGGGGGCTTTCTCTTAGTTCCTTCACGCACCTGTACTTCTATCTTACTGGTCCCCACTGGAATTCAGATGAACTCATTCTTATTTCCTGGGCAGGTCAAGGAGAACTGTAGGGAATAAATGAATGAATGAGTGAATGAACAAGGGTGTTGTAACTGTTCTGAATACTAATTCTATCTCTCTCTCTCTCTCTCTCTCACACACACACACACACACACACACACACGTAAATGGAACTGAAGGGCATTGCTTCATCATGTGCCAGTGCAGCCTGGCCAGCCCGTTCTTCCCCACCAGGTCCCTGGGAACCCAGGCTCCGTCCATCCCAGTCCCCACCATCCTTGGGCTTTCTCTGCATCTTTAAGGTCACAACCCGGAAGTTAAATATGTTGTCACTTCCTCACCTCCCTGAATCCATCAGCCCAAATTTAGACCTAAGGCTGCCTGCCCCAAGCTGCAAGGGAAGCTGGGAAGTATAGTTCGGCCTTTGGATGGGCCACGCCTTGGGTGGTCAAGGGTTGTGTCCCTGAGCGAATAGGAGCACCTGGAAAATGCGGGGGTGCAGAAGCAGCCCACAGAGGCCAGTGCTTGTCCTGGACTGGGAGCAGACCGGGCAGGCCAGGAATGCAAGGCCCCTCCTTGGCCAGCTGGGTGTTGCCAGTTCTGGATGAAGCCGTTGGCTTTAGACGGGAAGGGGCAGGAGGGTAAACCCCAGCTCCAACTCCCTTTGGTCTTCATCCACCTTCCCATGTAGGGCTGCCCACCAGCGCCCACTGGCCGTCGCTTACCAGGGCTTGATATGTGCCAGCTGCTGTCGCAGGTCCCACCTACAGGGCCAGGCTTGGGGTGAGGCGAGACCATAAGGTGCAAGACGGGGTCATAGAAATCATACATCTGCAACACCCATCATGTGGTCATTATGTGATCTTTTTTTTTTTTTTTTTTTAGTTGAGTGGCTTTGAGCACAGCTGCAAAGTTGTGCAACTCAAACATCCCCAATTCCGGAATATTTTCATCACGCTAGGAAGAAAGTCTGCGTGCATGAGCCAGCGCTGCCCTGACCCTCATGCCCTGTCCCTGGCCGCTGCTGGCCTGCTTCCCGTCTCTGGATTTGCCGACTCAGGCCCTTTAGCAGGAAGAGGAGGAGGACTCTGTGAGAGTTCAGTGATTTGCTCCCAGGCCACATCTGACTGCAGACAAGGGGCCACGATTATTGGTTGTTTTTTTCCTCCACTGTGTAGCATTCTTTAATTTTGCTCTTAGTTTGAAATGGGACGTCACCTCTTGGGAAGCATCTCTGGCGTGCCCATTGCTCCTCTGGCTCGGTGTGGCGCAACGTGGCTCCAGACACCTGCATACTTTCTCTTAATCCTCCATCGGGCACTTTGTCCTGCAACCTCCATGCAAGGCTGGAGCGGGGACGAGGACTTGCTCTGACCCGCAGCTCTCCCCACTGCACCTCTGCAAGGCCAAGGCAGAATCCCACAGCCCCCTGAAGCCTGTATGAGGGTCGGGGCACCGCCACCCCTTCGCCGCTCCTTCTCACTGTTAGAAGGGGCAGGTGTAAACTCTTTAAAGAGAACTTTCCTCTCCCCTGGAACTGCCTGCCTCGAGCGGGATGTCACTGAGCAGATCTCCTGTCCATCAGAGCTCTTCACTTCCCCCAAAATGAAGCCACTAGGGCTTGAGTTGAGAAAAAATACCCGACTTCCCCAAGAAACAGATATATTTCTTTGCAACAATGAGAAGAGGGTTTAAAGACTACACTTTCCTCTTCACGTTAGCCACCAGGAAGCTCAAAGCCAAATGTGAGAACTTTTGTAGGCTCTGTACTTTTTTTTTGGTATTATAATGCTTATTGTAATTTGTATTGGTCTTTATGTGTACATTTTTTAAAATAATTCTTTATTTTTATTTGAAAGAGCTACAGAGAGAGGAGAGACAGAAAGGTCTTCCCTCCTTGGGCTTACTCCCCAAATGGCTATAATGGCTTGCTTAAGTTGGGCTAGTCAGAAGCCAGGAGCTTTTTCTGGGTCTCCCACCTGGGTGCAGCGGCCCAAGGAGCTGGGCCCTCTGCCATCTTTTCAGCAATTATCAGGGAGTTGGATTGGAAGTGAAGCCACTAGCACTCAGTCCAGTGCCCGTGGGCGATGCTAGCACTGCAGGTGGGGGCTTAGCATGCTATCCCATGGCAATAGCCCCTATTTTGCATTTCTGTTGACATTTTCCTGTTTTGGCAGGTGTGTGAGTGGACTTTAGCAAGTTTTTTGGAAAATGAAATTGAAAGATTTTTCTTTTAGTGTAAAAATTTATTTAAATCCAAGCCTGTTTTTTTCCATAATATGAGTTAGACAGAAACTTCTCAAAGGCCTTCTCCGGGGGCCAGCATCATGGTTTAACTGGCTAATCCTCTGCCTCTATGCACAGACATATGGGCACCAATTTATATCCTGACTGCTCCACTTTCCATCCAGCTCCCTGTTTACAGCCTGGGTAAGCAATAGAGGATGGCCCAAAGCCTTTGGACCCTGCACCCACGTGGGAGACCTGGAAGATGCTCCTGGCTTGATTGGCTCTGCTCCAGCTGCTGAGGCCACTTGGCGGGTGAACCAGCAGATGGAAGATCTTTCTCTTCTTCTCTCTGTGGATTTGCCTTTCCAACAAAAATAAATATTTTTTAAATATACTTTTCAAGGAACTATATAAATGAGTTTCAACCTTTTTTGCACCAGGATAGACTTCCCGTTTTATTTCATTTGCCATGAGCTTTTGAAAGTGCCTTGTATTCCCCGATAACTGCCTACATCCTTTGAAAACACGTCCAGTGGAAAAGCACTTCTGGAAGGAACTGTGGGCTGCTGGGCGCGGGTCCTGGCCAGTGTATTTATCTCAACTGAGACACCACGGGCCACAGTACTGCATGGCTCTCTGGGTCACACGCAGACCAATAGCCACCAGCTGAGATCTGGGGGCCCTTGTCTGAGAGGAAGTGAGAAGCTGGCCGGGCACCTACATGGCCATTCTCCACTACGCAGGGCTGCTCAGCCAAGTCTTACTTCCCCAGCGGCCCACGGCAGTGACGCGCTAGATCTCCAGGGCATTCTGAGCGGTCAGCGCCAGGTGGCCAGAGCCACGCCCATGCCACGCCCACGCCTGCTGTGGGGAGGCACCTGTTGGCTCTCCCCAGAACTTGACAAAGCCACAGCCTGGGGAGGGGTGCAATGAGATTTCGGGTCTCATCCAGTGCCAGGCAGGCTTGTCTTACAGGAGGGGAGGGAGATATGTGGCTGCTGTGATTGTCAGGGGCAGGAAAGTACCCAGAAACGCCCCTGTGAGGCACACAGCTGGGATGACTGGGTGGGGCTGAGAACGGTCACGTAAACTGAACTTGGCAAAGAGGGGGTGGTCGTGGGGAGAGGGAAGGGGTGGGGGGCTGGCTCATTGTCAGGGGGCACCTCCTCTCCGGGAGGCCCCGTCCAGGTCCCTCCTAGAGTTGGGGAGCTGAGGCAAACTCTGCCTCACCTGCACGTCCCTGCCCCTGACTCGAGTAGGGAAGGACCCCAAGGACTGCCTCCCGGGCGAACGCTGAGCACTGCGGCTAAGACCCCACTTGGAACCCTCACTTCCCAGCATCCCAAAGGGGAGCACCTGGTGTTGGATCCCATCTCTGCCCTGGATCCAACTTCCTTCTTGCTAATGCAGCTGCCCACACAGGTGACAGGTGATGGCTCAAGTCCTTGGCACCGTGCCACCCACGTGGGACACTAGACTTGGGTTCCAGCCTGCTGGCTTCTGGCTCTGGCCTGACCCAGCCCCCCAGCTGTGGCAGACACTCGGGGAGTGAACCAGCAGAAGGAATCTCTCTCTTCCTCGTTCTCTCTCTCCCCTCTGTCTCTGCCTGTCAAATGAAAACAGCGTTTTCCAGGAAGAGGCCCAGGTCATCGCTGCCTTGTCCTTCCTCCTCCCAGGAAAGCCGTACGGGGCGGACGACTTCCTGCCGGTTCTCATGTACGTGCTGGTGCGGAGCAGCGTCACCGAACTGCTCCTGGACGTGGAGTATATGATGGAGCTCATGGACCCTGCCCTGCAGCTGGGGGAGGGTGAGTGCCTGCCCCTTCTCCCCCTTTCCCCTACTCGCCCCTGACTCAGCCTCCTGGGTGCAGGGCTGAGGCTGAGCCCCGGGGACATGGTGTGAGAGTCACTCCTGGGCGGTAGCAATGAGCCAGAGGCCCATGGTGGGGCGTGATCCTGTGGATATGCAGCCAGGAAGGGCCTCCTGGAAGAGGTGCCACCAGAAAAGATGAGAACAAACCACCCAGATGCAGAAAGGCCTTGCTGGGAGTTGGCAGCTGTTATGGATCCTCACGGGAGTGATGGTTCCTTAGGCGGAGGGCCCCGGCTGCAGCTCTTGGGCCCCCTGCCCGTCCGGCCTGGGTCTTGGTCTCTGGCAGTGGGAGGAGGACAGTGTCCTGCGAGGGCAGCCCCTGCGTCCCCAGTAGGTGGGGACAGAGATGTGGTTTGTGCCACCGCACCCTCCTGGTTCCTTCCTCTCCTTCTCACGACTTCCTCCCGCCCACTGAGCCCCTGAGGTGCTGTCCCCAGCCCAGACCTCAGCTCTGGAAGGGGCCTGCCGGCTTGTCCCCTGAGACTGCAGCCTGCAAGGTCAGAGGGGGCGGTCAGGCCCTGATGGCCCCTGCGGGCCCTGCAGTTCCCAAGGTTGTCCCACACGGCCTGTGTCCGTCTGCGTTTGGTGCATCTCTGGAGGCCCGTGCGGCGGGGGCAGTTCTGTGAGTGCTGCCAGCTCGAGGATGTGTGCTCAGCCGTGACACTGTCATCGTGTGGCTTTGGGACATCTGAAGCCATTTTTTCTTCTCAGTTAAAATCTTCCTACTAGTGGGTCAGTTTATTTCTCAGGAGGATCTAAGAGTTTGTGAGAAACCAAGCTTTGTTGAGCAGTAATGATCTTCTGTCTGGCACATCCACTCTTGTATCCATCAATTTATTGTCTACACATCCACCTGTCTGCTCATCCATGCGTCTGTCTGCCCACACATCCATCCATCTATCCAGCAACGTCTGTGTCTATACATCCACTTGTCTCTTTATCCATCTACCCTTCCATCATCCATTTATCAGCTGCATATCCACACGTGCACCTCTTCATCCATCCGCCCAACTACTCATCCCTCTCTCACCCACCCATGCACCCACCAGCCTGCCCCCTCGGCCCTGCCAGACACCTGTGAGAATGAATGAGTGCTTTGTTGTTCACGCCATATTTTGGACATCACCTGCTTGTGCCTTCCTGCTTGATTTCCCTAGCCCTGTGAGCGCACGCGCGTACACACACACACACACACACACACACACACACACACACACACGTGTGGAAGGATCCCCAGACCCAGGAGGCAGGGAGAGGCTCCACCACTGAGGCCGGAAGACAGAAGGGGAGGGAGGCAGGGCTGTGGGCAGGATTAGCTCGCAGAACTCTGCATTCCCCAGGCCCTGCCCCCCTCGGAGGGACAGATGTGTCGACTCCGCCCTCCCAACACACATTCAACAGGAAGCTGTGCGTGGCCTTGAGGGCTGCTGTGCCTGAAACAGCTACAAGTTCAAGGTTCACATGTCAAAAGTCACGGCAGACAGCACAAGCTGCCGACACTGAGCCAAGGGCAGGTGCTCCCACAAGCCAGCAGCCCAAGCATCAGCAGCCTCGTGTACAGAAATTTCTCACTTCAACAAGAGTGTTACTCTAACTTAAAAAAAAAAAAAAGTCCCTAAAGTGGTTGGGAGATGCTGGTTATCCAGGGCAGGATGGGTGCTGGAGCCAGGCTCAGTTCCATGTGTCTCCAAGCTCCCATGAGCCTGACTGCTCCCTGTTGAACACAGGCCCCCAGGCCAGCAGTCACGTCCCTGGGGAGCCCTGTTTCCTGAGCTTGTGCCCCACACAGGAATGGAAACAGGGGAAGGGACACCAGGTCCTACTATCCTTGCAGCAGGTGTGTGGGGCCAGAGCAACCAGCGACTTCCTATAGACCATAAAGAGGGCCTAGTCGCTGGCTGCTGGGGCACTGCCCCTGGCCCCCCATCTGACCTCTCTCCCTTGCTGCCACCACTCCAGGAAATCATCGGGTGCACAGTAGACCCAGCAGCTCCTGGGCGCCTGACTGGAGGCAGTTCATAAATCCACACCTGTCCCAGAAGCACCAGCACAGCCCCTGCTGGCTGATAGCTGGAGCATCAGACCAGGCAATGAGGTCTTACCCAGTGCAGGCCTGTCCAGTTGTTGGGCAGCCCAAGCCGCTCCAAAACTCACAGTGGGCTCTCCTGCCACCTGGTGGTCCTAGCCGGAACTGCATATCCTCAAAGCCAAATTGGCTAGGCAAAGGGGCACTCTGGCTGTGAGTAGGCCAGAGGGTCCTAGACAGGGTTCAGGGATCGCCCCATCTCCTAAGAGGGAGAGACGCCTCCAGGGCTCCTCCGTGGGGTTAGCAACCCAGTGCTCTGAGCGATGCAGTGGCTGGAGGGGCTAGGGAGGCCCTGACAGGCAGATGCGTGAGTGGTCTAGTGGTCCCGCACACCAGAATGCAGGAGAACATGAATACAGAATTGCCAAAGCCGCCTTGTCTCCCATTTGGCCATGACAAATTACATGACCTGTGGGCATGAACTTTCCCGTATGGGCAGTAGAGCAGATGGGGACGTATAGCTTCACCCAGTGGACACAGAACAACCCACAGGGTGGCCAAGAAGAATACCCTTGGCATGGACATGTCCATTAAAGCAGCCCTGGACAGCCAGCAATCACTGGCCAGCTCGCATGTCTCCACACCCGGCCGCAGTCTTGAAGCCTGTCACCTCAGATCACAAAATAGCTGCTGTGCCCCCTGCGCTCACCTCTGTGCTCCAGGACACGCAAAACCCCACAAAGCTGTCATCCTAATCTCTGTGCTGCCCAGAGATCTCCACTTCCCTCCACAGACCCCCAGCAGAGGTCTGCTGCCTTCTCTGGCTAGCTGCAAGGGAGATCTGGGATTTTTGTCAGGTGTTACCTAGGGAAAAAAAGTGGGGTTGGAGGGAGAAAGAAAAGAATGGATGGAGAGTGGTAGGGAAGCCCATGGCAGTGCCACGGGCATGGGCAGAGCTGGAGAGTAGAAGGCAGACTGCCCAAAGCCACCTCCTCCTGTGGGTCCCTGACCACCGTGTGACCCTGGCCACTCCCCCTCCCTCCTTCTCTGGCTCCTGGTTTCCTGTGTAAAGCGAAGGGGCTCACCGCTCCTCTTGCCGAAGTTCCCAACAAGTCAAGTGGAATGAACGTGTGGCATCCGTGCACGCGTTCTTCTGTGCACAGCTTTCATTGTGAAACCTCGTGGAAGCCTTGCAGCTGGAAGCACCTCAAAGCTTCAGTCACTTCACAAAGCAGCGGGCAGCGAGAACCGGGCCCAGTTAGCTCAAGAAGGTGGAAGGAAACGGAGGAGCAAATGATAAGTTTCACCAACTTCAATTTTATTATTATTATTTTTTTAGATTTATTTATATCTATTGCAAAGTCAGATATGCAGAAAAGAGACAACGATCTGTCCGCTGATTCACTCCCCAAGTGACCGCAGTGGCTGGAGCTGAGCCAATCCAAAGCCAGGAGCTTCTTCCTGGTCTCCCACGTGGGTGCAGGAGCCCAAGGCTCTGGGCCATCCTCAGCTGCTTTCCTAGGCCACAAACTGGATAGGAATCAGGGCTGCTGGGATTAGAACCGGCACCTATGTGGGATCCTGGTGCGTGCAAGGCAAGGACTTCAGCCACTAGGCCACTGCTCCTGGGCTTAACCTTTAACTTTAAACTGCATGTAATGGTGCAACCATAATCAGAACTTCTTCTGCATTGCTTTTAGAACAGACAATACATTCACAAGGACTCACATTTTAAAAACATCTACTTGGGCACCAGAGTTGTCACACAGCATGTTAAGCCACTCCCTGCCAGCTTGAGTTCTGGCTGCTCTGCTTCCAATCCAGCTCCCTGCCACTGTGCCTCGGAGAACAGCCAGGGGCAGCCCCACTGCTTGGGGCCCTGCATCCATGGGGGAGCCCTCGCTGGATGAACTTCCAGGCCTCCTGACTTTGACCTGGCCCAGAGCTGACTGTTGTGGGTATTTGGAAAGAGAAACAAAGTTTGGGAGCTCGCCTGTGCTTGCTGGCTGGTTTGCTCTCTTCCTCCCTCTGTCTGTGTTGCTCTAAGTATAAACCTGGTGAGACCGTGGAACCAGTGTGAGATTGGAAGCAGGTGCTGGAGCTGCAGTGGCAGTGGGTGTGGCCAAGAGTGAGTGGGCGGGACTGGCCAGCCACGAAGGGGCGGGGCGGAGGCGGTCCCAGCTCAGCCTCCTCCCATCCTCGTCCGTGCAGGCTCTTACTATCTGACCACCACCTATGGAGCCCTGGAGCACATCAAGAACTACGACAAGATCACGGTAACGCGGCAGCTGAGCGTGGAGGTGCAGGACTCCATCCACCGCTGGGAGCGCCGGCGCACGCTCAACAAGGCCCGGGCCTCGCGCTCCTCCGTGCAGGTGTGGCTGGGGTGCAGAGATGGGGTGGGTGGGACCATGGACCGCGCACCGCCTTCAGAGCGGCAAGGAGGGGGCCCCAAGCCCCTCCCTGTGTCCAGTTCTGATCAGACAGCCGAGCTGGGTTTGGCAGGAATAAGCCAGTCACTGCCAGCCCTCGGCACCTGCCATGGCCTAGCACCTCTGGCCTTGGAGTTGGGAGTGTCTGGCTTGGGGAGTCCCACCAGCCATGCTGTATAGCCTTGGGACCCTAGACAAACACAGGGACCTCTGCCAAGGGTCCCTTACCCCTAGCCTGTCCTCCCAGGTCCTGATCAGACTTCTGCCATGTTACCCCAGCCCCCGCCGCAGCCTGCATGCCAGCCTGCCACTTTTCAAGAGCCCAGCTTCCCCGTTGCCCTGCCCCCACAATGCTGTCCTGCCCCTCCCCACTTGTGCTGCTGTTACTGTCCATCCTGCAAGACCACTCAGCTGCTCTAACAGACTCCACTGGGGAGCCTTCCCTGAATCCCACACCCACTTCCCACAGGCTGAGTGAGACCCCTGTGTGCTGCCCAGCCGTGTCTGTCACTCCTATAACCATCCACGTCAACCCGTGCTGTGGCCCTGTGTGCAGGGAGGCACCCAGGGGCTCCACACCCAGGGTCCAGGACAGAAGAGCTGTCATCTTCCAGAGCACCTGGAGCCCACCCACCCTGAACACCATTCCTGGCTTTTAAGATAGCCCAGCCATCATGGGGCAGCAATCCAGTCCCCCCGGGGCAGGAGGTACACGTTCTGGACCCTGAGCAATCCAGCCACTCTCTGTCCCCACAGGCTGGCTTCCCAGGCCATAGATGACCCAAATTCATGAGAGCCCCAGCCTCAGCCCCTCCCAGCTGCCTCCACACCCTGGCCTTCAATCCCGTCCCTTGGGTGAGAGCCCAGAAGACAGAACCCCCTGGGAGGCTTGATGGGAGACTAAGTGGACACAGGCAGGGAGAGACAGGCTGTGCCAAGTGGTGGCCATGGCCCCATGGCCTGACTGCCGCCACCACTCCGTCCAGCAGGGGGCAGCCCGCGCCCAGCGGATGGCACCTGTACAGAAGGAGGTGCCAGGCTCCTAGTCAGCTCCTGCTTCCTTGCAACCGGGAGCCCAGCCCATGCCCCAGGACTCACTCTGAGAGGGCCAGGAGCTGCACGTGTGCGCACAGGAGCTCCCACCCCAGCCCCCAGCATGCGAGGAACCCTCTCCCTGCCCTGCCTACTAAGCCCAGATGCTGGGAGCTCAGGAAGAATGGAGTGATGGGGTCAGGAGACCCGCAGGGAAGTACACAGAGGGAGGGGTCGCAGGTGCACTAGCCCCCCATCTGCGCCACGCTCCTGTGCCGTGCGCCAGCGACCGTGAACCCTCCCTGTCGCCCCGCAGGACTTCATCTGTGTGTCTTACTTGGAGCCCGAGCACCAGGCACGGACGCTGGCTTCGCGGGCGGACACGCAGGCGCAGGCGCTGTGTGAACAATGCGCTGAAAAGTTCGAGGTGGCGCAGCCGCAGGAGTACCGGCTCTTCGTGCTTGTGGACGGGCGCTGTTTCCAGCTGGCCGACGAGGCGCTGCCCCACCGCATCAAGGGCTACCTGCTGCGGAGCGAACCCAAGCGCGACTTTCACTTCGTATACCGGCCCCTGGATAGCGGCGGCAGCCCTCCTTGCCTTGTGGTGCGAGATCCCAACTTCCTGTGAGGCAGGGTGGCCGCGGGGTCTCTGAGGGAGGGATCCCTGAAGACCTGTATGTGGAGCAGGCAACCTGGGCACATTTGCCTGGGCACACTTCCACGTGCAGCCACACGTGCATATTACCCAGAGCATGCCAAGGCCAGTGTGGCAGGATGCTTGTGAAAACACGACCAAGGAGCAGCCAAGGACGCTTCCCAGGAACAACTCATAGCCCCAAGACCAAGAAACAGACTCAGGGCCGGAAGTGGAGCTGCAGCAGGCAAGCCCACTCCCTCCCCACAGCTCCTTCAGCCACCCCATTCCTCTTTCTCAGGAAGAGCCCAGGGTTCATTTGCCAAGTTCAAGCAAGGAAGGGGTGCCTGCCCACAGATGCTCCCCTGCCCCCTGCCCCTGGGCTGGGCTGTTGGGGTCTGCCCAGCCTCCCAGGAGCATCTCAGGTGTGTATGGAGGAGATGGGGGGGCGGCTGCCCTGCCTCCACCATCAGTCGTGACAGAAGCAGCCAGGACACAACAGGACCATCCAGTGGCCACATAGGGGAGTACACAGGGACGCTTCCCTGGTGGACACTTCGTTCCCACCCCCAGGCAGCCAATGGAAGAGACACCTGGTTGGATGGGGGGAGAGGAATAAAAGCTCTTTTGAAAACGGCATCTGCTATGTTTGGGGGTCCTCAGCCTCTAACACATGTCTTCCCAGGTGGGGTTACAGAGGCCCTGCCTGCCCCTGAGGGGGCCTGTCCTCCACAGGAACCTGGGGCTTAGGCTCAGCCACCTGCAACCTTGGGGACCCTGGGCCATGGCTGCCCTTGGCCATCTCTGTCCTGGGTTCTCATCCCTCCTAACCCCGGGTCCTTTTCACAGTCATCTCTCCCCTTTCTGCCTCTGCTATGGGGACACCATTCCCAGTAGTCTTGCTTGACCGACTCCTACCCACCCTTCAAAGCCCAACTTCTCCAGGAAGCTTCCCTGAATGCTCAGGCTGGACCAAGCAGTCCTGACCCATGTCCCCAGTTCTTGCTTCACAAATCACACCTATGTGCTGTTGTTTCCCAGCTAGCCTGGGACTATGTGTGGTTGCATCCTGGCCTTGGTTAGAAATAGCTGCTCATCAGTGCCTCCAGTGTAGGCCATAACATTCACCTCACCCCAGTGTGAGTGGCCATGAACAGGTGTCCAGGCTTGGGGAGCTGGCCTTAGCACACTTCAAATCCTAGGATCCAACCCTCTTATTGGCTGGCCAGCAAACACCTGTTGTACTCTGGGTCCAGTCAGTTCAGTGGGCGACACACCCTATTCTACCCTACCCCTGCCCAGTATACATTGCCTGGCCCCAGAGGTTGACGACACAGATGTGAGGAAGCAGAGAAAGACCCCACAGCAGGGGGGCAGCTGGCCACAGCCTCACAGTGTCCCCACCCTCGTGGCCACCAGTCTGCCACAACACACCATCCTCAGCTTCTGACACTGCCTTGGGTGTGGTGGGGCCACACTGTCTCCTGACCCCCAACCTCTGAGGCATGGAGGCCTCTGCCTGCCACTGGTCCTGCACTGGCGGGGAAGGAAAGAGGGGCCCCCTGTGGGCAAGCACATGACAGCCCAAGCTGGAGTGAAGTAGGGGTTTGGAGCAGAGCACCAGGCTCCCCCTGGGTCCTGTGCCAGCCAGCGGACAGAGCCCTCCAGTTGACTGGTTTGAGGGGCTCCTGGTAAGGATACCAGGTATGTGAGGGTAGGCTGGGTCCCACCTGTCAGGAGAAGCCAGGGAGCTGGCTGCCTGGGGAGCAGAAGGAGTAGGGTTCTGGTTACCTGATGCCCCTGTGTGGGGAGCAGGGTGCTAAAGCCGCTCCTGGGACCAGGAGGGGCCGTTGCAAGATGGCAGCTGGCCCAGGGCCAGGAGGCAGAGCTGGTCTCACCAGCAAGTAAACAGGAAGTCACAGGATGGGCTAATGTCCCCGCTGCAACTACTGGCCTATCACGTAGCGCCAAGTGGACCCATGGGGAGAAGTGATTGGTTGAGAACAATATAAAAGTAGCTGGTAAAAGCTGGAGGAGGACGACAGGACGACTGCGATGGAGGGTGGACAGACGGACAGATAAATGAAGACGGACGAGAAAGACTGGGGGCAGAAAGAGGGCCGGCCAAAGAAGCAGGGAGGAAAGCTTAGACCAATGGGGACAGGAGCAGCGGAGAGAGAAGAATTTAAACATGGCCGCTTTTGGCAGTAAGGGGTTTGGTTGTGGTTCCAGTTTTTCCCAGACCCTCAAGAGCGTGCCTTGTCATTTTTAGTGTTGCCGCTGCTGGGCGGCAGCGACACCCCTGTCCCCAAGAAGGTGGGAAGATCAGATCTTGGGCAGGAGATGGATCACCCTCGCTGAGCTTTGGGGGTGTCTCATGTGGGCTAGTACGCCCCATACACACCATCTCACCCACATGACTGCCCGAGGGAAGCCTTCCCTTACACATTTGATCGTCAAGGCTTGAAGACCACAAGTGTCCCAGTCTCTTGGGGTCCCACCAACTAGGGGCTTAACCAACAGGACCTCCTACTCAGCCCCAAGGGCTCCCAAGGACTCCCCTGCTTGTGGACAACCTCCTCCTGTGTCTACACCGCTCTCCTCCGGGCAAACTCAACCTTCCTCTCTTAACTTAAGAACATGGGGCTACTGGATTAGGGCCCTCCCACACAACCTCACTGAACCTTAATTCTCAGGGCTTCGACTTTCAAGGGACCCCTGCCAGAGCTGAGGGGCCAAAGGAGGAGGCTGGCAGGCCCTGGCAGAGGGTCCGGCATATTGGTACAAAGTATGTTGCAATCCTTGTGTTTCTTCACATATATTTGAATACTCTCATGTCTGATAATTTGTACCCAAAATATATAAAAAACTTTTTGTTTTTTGACAGTAAAAACAATTCAATAGCTGGAACCATGGAACCACCATCTTTCAGTAATTTTCCAAGACAACAAACACCAAGAGAGGCGAGGTGCTGGAGTCCTTGCCTTGTATGTGCTGGGATCCCATATGGGTGCCGGTTCATGTCCTGGTGGCCCCGCTTCCCATCTGGCTCCCTGCTTGCGGCCTGTTAAAGCAGTGGAAGATGGCCCTACATCTTAGGGCCCTGCACACTTGTGAGAGACCCAGAGTAGGTCCCCTAGGAAGCATTCTGTTACAGCGACCCACAATGACCAAGGCAGAAATCAAACAGACGTGGTTTAAATACACAGACCTCATTTCTGATGGCACATGAACCACAGGAGAGAGACAAAGAGACAGAGAGATTTTCCATCTGCTGATTCATTCCCCTAACAGAAACCACAGCCCGAGCTGTGCCAGTCAGAAGCCAGGAGCCAGGAGCTTCTCCCAGGGCTCCCACATGAATGCAGGAACCCAAGGACTTGAGCCATTCTCTACTATTTTTCCAGGTCATAAGCAGAGAGTGGGACACTTTAGGAAGCACCTTGAGAATCCATGCGGACGAAGGGAAAGGCAGCCCATAGTAAGACAAAGAGCAAGTCATCATGGCAGAGCAGCCGCGAGTCCAGCAAGGGGAGTAGAGGATGGAGGTGGGTGGGGGAGGGGAGGCTGGAAGCCACAGAGGAGCGGGGACCAAGAATGAGTCCTTGCTCAGTTACAGACCTTTATTTCCCAGGACTCATCTGTTTTTGCAAAATAAAATACAAAAAGCAATCAAAAAGTATGATTTTTCTAAAAAATAGTCTTCCATATAGGGCTCAGAACCTTCTTCATAAAATCACTGTGAAGGCCTGAAGAGGCTTGGGCTCTGGAGGCCCCCCTGGAAGCCCCTCTGCTGGCTAGAGGCCCCGCGGCATTCCCGCACCTGGCCAGCCGGCGGGACAAAGCCAAGCTGCGGCGGGCACACCTCTCCCGGCCCAGCTTTACCCTCTCACATCTGTAGCTTCCTGGAGCCTCCTGCGAGGGCTGCCCACGGCCAGGGAGAAGGGCAGGGCATGTGCCCTCCTGCGAGAGAAAGGCCCGGAAAGGGACAGGAGCCTGGGGCGGGGGCTCGGGCCTCCTTCTGTTCCACCTCTTCAGGTTCTGATCAACACACAGGCTAAGGGCGTCTTGACACGTACAAAAGGAGAATTTCTCTAGTAGTGCAGGCACACCTTGTCCATGGACAGTTTTATCCTGTGAGAGAGGAAAGGGCTGTGTTAATGCTTAAAACATACTCCAACACGGAGGGGACCAGCAGGTGTGTCCAAGCAGCCGCTAATGGGTGGTGTGGCTGCCTGGGACGGAGGGCAGGAACAAGGCCGCTGCTGCAGGACTGGCCCTCTGTCGTCAGAATCACACTGACCGCCCCCCAACGCCCTGACCCACGCCCCGTGCGCACTCACCTGCTGACTGGGTAAGACTTCTCACAAAGGTTGGCCAGCACATACAAGTGTCTCAGTGCATACTCATACTGGGGGCAAACAAGTGAAAAACAAGAATAAGATGCCATCACATCCTCGCTCCTTTAAATTACATTCCGCAATCATGGAAGGACAGTAGCTTGGCAGGTGGCTCAGGGACCTCAGCACCCTGGGACGGCCCAGCGGTGTTTAGGAACTGACCCCTTCAGGCCGGTGTCTGCCCCCAGCACAGGGGGCGGCAGCCTGCTCCATCCACTGGACCCTGATGGAGAGCCCGCCATGGTCCTGCTCCCCTCTGCTGCCTCACTCAGGGCTCTGAAGGGCTTGCTGCTGGGAGGGTCGTGTCAATGAGGAGGTGGGATGGGATGCGAATGCAAAACTAGACACAACATGTGAGACTAAGACAATGGGGAGGGGTGGTTATCTTGAGAAAACTTCAGAGGAGCCCAGGACACTCAGGAGGGAGAAGGGAGAGAGGCCCCTGGCATGGTTCCCAGCAGCAGCAAAGCCAGGCTAGTGGGTGCTGCCCTGCCACAATGGGCATGGCGGTCACCGAGACTGGAGAGCTGGGCTCCAGGGAGAGGACACGGACAGAAACAGATCCTGGACAGGACCAGGGTCCAAGCTGCGCCCACTGCCCCTCCAGGGCTTGGTACCTGAACCTCAGTGTGGACTCTGAGGGAAGGGTCACAAGAGACCAGCACCTAAGGGGATGGGCAGGGCCAGGGGACAAGGGCTGGTGGGGACAGTCGACCTGCACAGAGAGCTAACCACTCTCTAAAGCCAGCACAAATGGCAGCTGCCCTAGGAGTGCTTGAAGAAAGTTGTGGAAGATAGAGGGTTGAACTCCATGCAAACAGGTGCCCTTCCTAGTTTATCTAGCAGCAGTCATTTCAGACAGTGGCTGGGACACCCAGGTGCCCCTCAGAGTGTGCCCAGGCTCTGGCTCCTGATGCCAGCTTCCTGCTAGCACAGGCCCTGGAGGCTGCGGGGATGGCTCGAGGGAGGGGCTGAGTGTCACCCGCACCTGAGGCCTGCAGTGGGTTCCCGGCTCCCAGTGCTGGCTCTGCTCCCTCCTGGTGCTGTGGGTATTTGAGGAGTGGAGCGGTGCAAGGGGGAGCTCTCCCCTCCTTGGCCTCAACCAGGTAGCTGGTGTTTTGTTTTGTTTTTTAAATGCTGATTATATTAAAAGCTACGTATGGAATTCATGTTGTTAGCAACAAAATAGACTTCTCTTTTAGTTCTATTTTTCCAGGAATTTTTTCAGGGGGCAGGACAAAGGGGGCCTGGGGCATGGGGCTCACCGTGGAGGAGTGCCAGTTGAAGCAGTGCGTGCGGAAGTGCGTGACAGCCGCCTCATAACAGCTGTGCTTCGTGAGTGGAGCCCTGGAAGTCAGGAGCTTCTTGACCTCTGCCGGGGATGGCACCAGCAGATTCACTATCTGGTACACCGACTTCTCAATGATGTTCCTGGCCTGGGGAGAAACACTTGCTGAGTGTGGTCTCTTGCAAACCCCTAGACCACTCTGAAGCCAGTTGCTGCATAAACCCTCATCCCGCTCCAGGCAAGCCAGACCCTGCCCTGCCATGGTTATAGGGGTATGGGCAGCATTCTGAGCTGGGCAGCAGCCTTGGCTGGGCATGCCCTGCCCGACAGGGCTCTGCTGACACATGGCTCTCACATCTAGAGACTCCAACAGCAACCTGGACCCACTCTGAGGAAAGAAGGGCTGCAGGACCTGCACCCCCAAAGCTGAGGCCCTAGCGCAGCAGTGTCTGAGCCCAGGTAGAGAAATGCTCTCATGTGATGACCAGCTGACACACTGAAAACAAATCACGAATGGGCGCCTGGATGCCGAGATCCCCGCATGGCACTGGGCAGTGCCTGGTTTGATTCTAAGCTTTGGTGTCAGCTCGCACCTTCTCCCTCATGCAAACCTGGGAGGCAGTGGTGACAAGTGACTGTGTCGCTGGACCCCTGGCGAGGGCCCTGCATGGGGCTCCTGGCACCTGGCTCGGGCCCTGCAGGGGCTCCTGGCACCTGGCTCGGGCCCTGGCATCCTGGAAACAAGCCAGTGGAGTGAGCATCCCTCTTCCTTCACTCTGCTTCCCACATGAATTATGTGGCACAGGAAGCCGCTGCTTGGGACCCCTGCCCACGTCAGAGGGCCAAGGCCTGGCCACCGCCCTGCAGATCTGGTTCCCAGCGAGTTCAGGCACAGCGACCCTGCCACCCACGCGGGAGACTCGGGCTCCTGGCTTCAGACTGACCCACCCCTGACTGCTAGGAACATCTGGATCAGTGAACCAACAGATGGGAGATCTCCCAACCTCTCTCTGTATCTTGTTCTTTCATGCAAATGAAAATTAATTTTCAAAAATAATTTTCAAAAATTTTAGCAAAACAAAACAAATCACAGTTTCGCTTTTTCATTTTTCCTGGAAAGCCCAGGCTGCATCCAGCGCGTCCCTCATCATGTTGGCTGATGGGGACAAGTGCGCTCACACGGAGCCCATGCTGTCAGAAGAGCCAGCAGGCACCCTGGAGGCAGTCCTGCTGGCTGCGCGACACGGACATGCTGCTGAAGGCAGTGGTGGCCGTTTCAGGAACAGCAAACACAGTTCTGGGTGTCAGGTGCTGGCTGCTTTCCTGAGACGGCAGGAAGCTGGAGAACTGCCGTGAAAGGTACAGTTCATAATGACAGGCGGTGAGAAAACACCGTATCTGCTGTCTTCTCACAGCAGGGTATTAATGAAGGAAATATCCACATGACCCAGTTTTGGGCAGGACACAGGACACCAGCAGATGGCTTTCCCCCCCGCACTGCTGTGCTCCTTACGGCCCCAGAGGTCAAGGTGAGCCTCCCAAGCCAGAGTGAAGACAGCCCCATTCTGCTCCTGGCCTGGCTCTCACACAGCCGCCAAGTCCAACATGTTCCTGGGCAGCAGGCAAGGGGACCCACATGAGGCAGGAAACACGCCCACCCGCAGAGGCAGGGACCATGCTCCGGCGCAGAGCAGTTCTCAGCCAGGGCTCCTGTCTCCACCACTCACGTTCAGGTGACTCTGAATGTGGGCTGAGAGCTTCTTGACGTCCTCCAGGTCGTTGGTGCGCATCAGCTTCCTTTTGAGGATCCTGAGCGGCACCTCTGGGCCTGGAGTGAGGTCCAGGTGAGTGACCGGGGGCAGAGAGATGGGAGAACTGGCTCTGTGCCGCATGCCCTGAAACTGCATCAGCTTCATGCTGGAGATCGACTGCAGAGGGAGGGAGGGAGTGGGCAGGTTAGGGGCGAGAAGCAGACGCACTGAACAGGCCCCGGGCCCGCCCCTCAGAAGGCTCCCCATTCCCTCCTCAGAGCTTGAGCACCAGGGAAGGGCCCCTGGTGCAAACCCCCAGTTTTCAGTACGGGAAGCTGCAGAAACACACAACATGCTCTGCAGCAGAACTGGTGTCCTGCCCCATGGGAAGGATGACTGCGGGCAGAGCTTGACCTACAGCTGTTTCATCCAGTGGTGGCCGTGGGCTCTGCTCATACCCACGTGGCCAGCAGCAGGGAGGAACGAAGCCGCTGACCAGGAGACGGCTGAACTCTAGGTCCACAAACACAGGCAGACCGAAGGGCCTCAGGCAGACACACCTGCCAGGCACCATGTACCTACAGAGGCTGCTCACACTGGCTTCTAGTGAGGGCAAAGAAAGGCTACACACTTTTAGTTCCTAGCCCAAGCAGCAGGGATCTGCAAGCAGTTCTCAAGCAAACACTGAAAGATAGCTACAAACGAAATCTTCGGTTCAGAAAAAAAAAATCTCACCTCCTCATACCCCACCAGATATGACCAATACCAAGTACATAGTAAGAGATACTGGTGGGGAGCGGGGGTGGTAGGTAGGGAGAGCACCATGGTAGTCTAGGTTAAGCCTCCACCAGTAGTACTGGCATCCCATATGGGTTTGAGTCTCGGCTTCTCCACATTCAATCCAACTGCCTGCTAATGGCCTGAGAAAACAGCAGATGGTCCAAGTGCTTGGGCCACCCTAACTCATCTGGAAGACACAGATGGAGTTCCTAGCTCCTGGTTACAGCCTGGCCCAACAGGGGATGGTCCAAGTCCTGGCACCACTCTATCCACATGGGAGACCTGGAAGAACTTCTACAGGCTGCTGGCTTTGGATCAGCTTAACTCCACTGTCATGGACATTTTGAGTGAACCAGTAGAAGGAAGATCTCTCTGGCTCTCCTTCTCTATGTAACTCTGTCTTTCAAGTAAAAACAAATAAATCTTTAGCAAAAAAAGACAAGGCAAAGCCTTCTTCGACTTTACCTGCCCTGTAACTTTTCTGTGCTCCGTTCTCTCGGACACTCACCCAACTGCCCAGCCAGGCTCCCAACCCATACTGGGGAGGAAAGGATTAAAGATGGCTGGCTTTTCTGGTTCCTAAATTTTCTAGATGGGTGACGCTTGAGCCCAAAGAACAGCTCTCGGCCAGTGAACTCTCACCACCAGTGTGGTGGTGGGTTGCTTGGGACATGGCATGCAAACTGAGAACCACTGGCAGGCCCTCCCCGAGCTTTGTATCTATCTGTACAAGCCAAGGGCTCACTGTGTCTTCCATAGCCCCCTGCTGGGGCACTGATGACCTCACCTGCTGAACCCTTGCCAAGCCATCCAGATACAACTCTCTGAGCTTGGTGGAGTGTGACTCCAGGAACAGATAGGGCCCTGGAATGAGTGGCAGCGAGAGCCGGGGCCGTCTCTGCTTCTCCACTGAGGTAGGAAGCCAGGGTGGAGTACCCCTACCCCGCTGGGTTCCACTCACTTTGTTTCCGTACTGCATCACATGGCTGGTGTTGGTGTGCGACTTCACCAGCTGGTACTGCCGGTGCAGTGTCTCCTTGGTCAGATCCTCCTACAAGATGGGAACATTAAAGTCCTTGGGCAGTCAGCAGCTGCAGGTGAAGCCCCAGCCAGCTGGCTCCCCCGAGGGGCTCACCACATCCGAGTCTTCCATCCAGTTGACGCTGTACCAGTCCCCCAGATAGGTTTCCCTCTCCTCGTCATAGTAACATGCATAGGATGACTCGGACGGGTTGGCAGCTGTGGTCGCATAAACTGCAAGGAATACAGAGTATCGTGCATTCGCTCTGGACCCCCCTCCCTGGAATGCAGCTCACCCCCTGTTTCAGGCTTTCCCCCTTCCCCGGGTGGAAGGGAAGCCTGTCCCTGCCCCTCAGCCTATGGAGGCCACAGACATGGCCCTGGATCTGGGCCTATCTATGCTACTAGGGTAATTTATGTGAAATTCACTGCAGAAGAGAAGCTGGCCGATGCCTTTAGGACCACAAGCAAATATTGCGGACATCAGGCATGCTGTCTGCAAGAACGCTGACAGATTTAAACAGCTGGGGAAACTTGGGGAAGAAACAAGATGGGCTGAATCTCCACAGAAGCCCTCGATTGGTTCAGAATACTACAGGACAAATGTCATCGTGTAAACTGTAACTCCCAGCAGCCAGGTACTCTTGAGCCCCAATGTACGGATAAAGATAACAGGGTTAACAAGGGACCAGAGCGCACCTGACATAGTGCCAAGGACGGTGACTGGTGGAAGGTCTCTATGGTTTGGGACTAAATAGCCTCACTTGAATTCCCAAGAACACTCACTGCTTCATTCCCTAAGAACCCCTGGGAGCAGAAGCCAGCAGGGCCTGCCTGTGCAGCACGTGGCTCCAGGTGGATCGTGTCTGGGGACACCACTTACACCCCTGCCAAGCTGCACCCCACCCGAGTCCCGGCGCCTACCATTGATGTCATCAGGCAGGTGGTTCATCATGGAGCCCGACTCGCAGGCCTCAATGTAGAACACCATCTGTGAGGCAGAAGCAGACAGCTGAGTGCCCACCAGTCAGGCGTGGCACTATAGGGGCGCTGGCCATTCTCAACCCTCTGGGCCCTTCACTTTGGCTTTTGGTGGACATCACTGCTACCAGAGACTAGGGAGACTACTGTCCTACAGACCAGATGGAGTGAAATTGCTGATCAAATAAAATGACAGAGAAAACGAGGCCATCCGATACTAAGGAGAATGTTGCACCATCCGATAGGGTCTCCTATGGTCCCCCAGACCCATGCAGACATCTGAGCTCCACTAGTCTCTGGGCTAGTTAACAGATTAATCTCAGTGGACCAAGAATGGACACATGATCTAGCTACAGGGTCTGGAAAGTACGCTCACAGGGAGGTCATGAGGTCAGTGAGTGGTTCTTCCAAAAAGGTGAGTTATTGGGGCTCAGTTTAGTTTAGTTCTCACTGCTTCCTCCTGGCCATGTCATTTGCTCTCCCACCATTCACTGACCTCCCTGGTGCCTGCCTGACTGCAGCCTGGGAGCCCCCCAGCTGGAAGCCACAGAAACCTTCCCACTTCTTAAGCCACTCTTCTCAGACCTGCCCATTACCCACGGGGCAACCTCAGGGAGCTGGGGAGTGTGGCCAGCCAGCTTGGGGTGTGACTAGCAGGTCCTTCCCTGGCCCAGAGGTCAATTCTCCGTTACAGAGGGTGTGGCACACTGCAAGTACATCAGACAGGAGCATTTTCCTCCCCAAGTGTCCAAAACTGGGTACAGTCCAAGGAAAAGTAGACAATAGGGTGTGGCCACTAGGTCAGCAGACATCCCCTTCAGAAATTCCAGCCCCCAGAGCCAGAGGCTCCCTGTCCCCGCACGACCGGGGGCTCTGCTTCCACTGCTCCCCCGTGCCCCACAGCTACCCTAAAGACAGGACTTACCTTTTGGTACTTTTTGTGCTTGTACATGTAATAGATGGTCTCGTTCAGGTCCCGCACGTGCAGCTAGGAGGCAAGAACAGTGAGACTGGGATGGCACAGCTGGACAAGCCCTGGCCATTCTGTTACCAGACAGTGAACAGCACTGCCAGGGAACTTCAGTTCACAGAAAATGGCATGGGATGTTAAGTTTATCATGGGAAAGACAGCTTTAAATCTCTGCATGAGGTTTTTTTCAAAAAATTAGAGAACAATGGATATAAAAGGGGTGGTGCTGTGGCAGACAGCGCTAAGCTACCACCTGCAGCACCAGCATTCCAAATGGGCACTGGTTTGAGAGCTGGAAGCTCCACTGCCAATCCAGTCCCCTGCTAATGCACCTGGGAAAGCAACAAAAAAAATGGCCCACGTCCCTGGGCCCCTGCCACCAGTGCAGGAGATCTGGAAGAAGCTCTAAGTTCCTGGCTTTGGCCTGGCCCAGCCCCAGTCACTGAGGGCATCTGAGGAATACACCAGTGGATGAAAGATCTCCCCACCCCACCCACTCTGTAATTCTGCCTTAAGTAAGTAAATCTTTAAGAAAAGAAAATGGGCATAAATTTTAAAAAAGAAAAACTGCACCAAAACAAACATCACTTCCCATGAACTTTGTTCATGCCCTTGCTTAGTCCTGGAATGCCATCAAGCATTTCAGGCACAGATTCTAACACGGGACAATAATTTGCTTCGCTTGCTCCCTTTGTCCAGAACATCTCTGCTTCATTCTCATGCTTGAAGCAACAATCAAGTCCCAAGACCGCTGCTGATCGAGACAGGAAGAGGAGCAGAGGGACACTGGCTCAGACGGACATCCCCAAGGAGGTCAAACCCAGCCCACAGACAGGGCTAAACTCAGCACACAGGATTCCCCATCACCCAGATGCCATCAAAACAGGAGGACAACTCACATCGTCATTGGGAAAAACCAACAGCCCAGTTGATCCATGATCTGTAAAGTACACGAATACATGGTCCCGGGGGCCACTGCCAAGAGAGGGACACACACAGTGAGCATGCGGGCTGGGGTGCCAGAGGGATCAGTGGCTGCCAAGCAGGTTCAAGCAGCAGCCCAAGGCCCAGGTGCCCCAAGGCATCATTCCAACTACAAAGATACACAGAGACTCAAGACTCTCAGTTACGAAGTCAGCATCATGGCACAGCACATTAAACCATTGCTTGCAGTGTCAGGATTCTATGTGGGCGCCAGTTCATATTCCGGCTGCTCCACTTCCCATCCAGTCCCCTGCTTGTGGCCTAGGAAAGCAAGGGAGGCTGGCCCAAAGCTTTGGGACCCTGCACCCATATGGGAGACTCAATACAAGTGGTTGATGAAAGCTGCCGAGACCCCCCGCCCTGCACAGCCCTGTCCCAAGGCAGCACGAAGCTCGTGCGGGGAAACAGGCTGGGATAGACCAGGGTTCCAGGTTAACAAGAGCAGTAGGCCTCACCTCTTCAGGACTTTTCCAGATCCCTTGCCCTTCACTGCTTCTGCATCACCTCTCAACACAGCCAGGAAGTTTTGTGAAGTGACATTCTGCAAGGAATCGGAGGAGCGGGAGGGTCAAAGTCATCCTGGGTCACAGCAGCTGCAGAGTAGGCTGCCGACCAGGGAGCAGCTCACACAGCTCCCAGCCCAACAGCAGCCTCCCTGCAGCCAGGAGAGCACCACAACAGGGGTAGTGTTCCGGGGCGCCATGCACAGCTCACTCCTGGCTGCTGGCCGCTTGGCCGGTCACTGCCAGTCCTGGAGCATGGCCAAGTCAACACAGAGCAAGCCAAAGATGCCAGGAGCAAAACAGAGGCGGGCATGTCGCCCCACACGCTGCCTGCGAGGCCGGATCCCCAGCTCACTCAAGGTTCCTGGGGAAGACTGATAAATAAACATAAGGCAAAAACACACAAAGGGGAAAAAGTCAGTTACCAAGAAAAGGGGCCACCAGATTCAAACCTTTCCTCACATATTTAAGAAGAGATGATTTCCTGAAAACGGGTTCAACTGCAGTACATATGAAGTTAGATTTAACTGCATTGAATTTTTTTAAAATGAAATTAAACTGATAGAATCGCTAAAGATAAAAGACGAGTTTCTTTATGACAAATAACAATTCTTAAAAAGATTCCTTGGAAATCAGGAACAACAGGGGCTGGCACTATGGTGCAGCATGTTAAGCCTCCACCAGCAGTGCCAGCATCCCATGGGGCACCAGTGCGTGTCATAGTTGCTTTACTTCCAATCCAGCTGCCTGGCAACATGCTTAAGAAAGTGGCAGAAGAAGGCCCAAGTACATGGGCCCTGCACCCAGCTTTTCAAATAAATAAATCTTGGGAAAAAAAAAAAAAGAAAAAGAAACAGACTATAAAAAAATCACTAGACTGAAGTTATTATGTTTTTTAAAATGTGCTGATTTGTTCAGTTAACTGGGAGGAATACAGAAATTCTGTAAGAGATATACTGTAAAATAGCAAAGAAATCCAGTCTCAGACAAACCCTGGCTGCTCACATGCAGCAGTACAGAGCTGAGAAAACAGCACAGACAAGCCACAACCAAAAAAACAGCACAGAATCAAGTTACACTGAAGGAAATCTAAACAATCAGGCTGCGGTCTTTAAGGAAGACACCAGCAGACCAACTTATTTTGAACAGTGCTCCTTTTTTCTATTTTCTTTGGAAACTCCTAATTTATCCCCACATGCACAAATCCCATTACAATCACAGGATGCTGAAACTGGTCTAACGAGGTTCTGAAATGCAAGAAAGGGGGAAAAAGCACCAGGCAAAGGGGTGCATGGGTGCCTGCCCCCGCCCCACGCACCTCTCCTGTGTAGTCTTTTGGGACGCCCTTGTACACATCCGTGCCGTTGGGTCTGTTGATCACAATCCCTGGGGTGGGGTTTCTGCAATGCAAAGGACACAGTTGAGACACACAAGGCAGCCGGTTGCGGGAACCTCTCTCTTCAAGATCGTGACCCTGTCAGGTGGAAAACGCATCAAAGATCGTTTTGTGGAACACACGGGTAGTCAGTCAGGCAGTGGCATCAACAAGTTGGGGATCTCTGGGTCCCACAAGCTGAGAGCGGCAGTGAGGGGCTGAGCACCAGGCCCAAATCCCAAGTGCACCTGGCTTCCTGCTGGGAACTGCTGCAACACAGAAGAGCTCTCAGAACTACCCTCAGACAAAGACAGGACCTAGAGGGAGCTCGGGGAGGGGGGGGCACTCCCAGCAGCCTCTGGGTAGGCGTGGCAGCACCCCTTGCAGGAACCACAGAGGGTGACCATGGAGCTGGGATGATGAGATGCTTCAGTACTTCTGATCACATCAGGCGAGTGAATGTGTAGAAGGGCCTGGAGGCCAGCGGGCTGGATCCCAGTGCTGCAGCAGCTGCTTGCATGCCAACCTCAGCCTCTGGCTCCACCTTCCTGCCAGTGAGATGCAGTGGGCAGCAGTAAAGGTCAAGCAGTCAGCTTCCTGATAGCCATAGAGGAGACCTGGATGATGTCCCCAGCTCGGGCATACCCTTAGGCCCCTGGAGGATGGGGTATGGCATGTGGAGAGTGAACCAGTGGATGATGCTGTTTCTCGCTCAAATAAATAAAATTATAGCAATGTGCTGTTCCAGTTAGGGAGCGGTGATAAACAGGCATGGCAAGAAGAGCAGGCTCAGAGGTGGCAAGCCAGCACCTCAGAACCCCATGCAGAGTTCTCCAAGTGGGGAGGTGTTGGCACTGCAGCACCTGTTTCCTAGAAGTGGCACATCCCAGACACATCCAAAGCTAAGCGTGAGGGGGCCGAGGTGCCACACTGGGCTGCGCTGGGAGGGGACCCCTAAGCCCAGGTGGGCACCTGTGCCTTCACACCTGTCCCCCTCAAGCACCTCCACTTACTCCTGTGAGTTGGCGATGTCATCATACATCATCACCACAATCTGCTCATCAGGAATCCCGTTGCGGTGAATGATCTGGTAGGCATGGCAAGCGTCCGCCTGCAAGAATGGATTTAGTCCGGGTTAAATTCTGCCCAAAAGGAAACTGATTCTGGAGCTGTAGTGAGCAACACCTTCTGTCTCCTGAAGATTTTACTAAAAATCACTGCTCAGTCTTTTTAAAGATTTATTTTATATTTTTATTGGAAAGGCAGATCTACAGAGAGAAGTAATGGCAAAGATCTTCCATCCACTGGCTTACTCCCCAAATGGTCTCCCCAAAAGGCCAGAGCTGAGCTGAGCTGAAACCAGGAGCTTCTTCCGGGTCTCCCATGCAGGTGCAGGGTCCCGAGGCATTGGGCCATCTTCTACTGCTTTCCCAAGCCACAAGCAGGGAGCTAGATGGGAAGTGGAGCATCCAGGACACCCAGTAATGAGAGGAAGATTAGCCAATTGAGCCATTGTGCTGGGCCCTGAACGATTATGTTTAAAAACATGTATTTGAGGACCAGCATTGAGGTATAGCACACAGCCTGTGATGCCAGGATCCCATATGGGCTCCAGTTTAGTCCTAGCCATTACACCTGGGAAAGCAGCACAAGATGGCCCAAGTCCCTGTGCCCCGGTACCCATGTGGGAGACCTGATGAAGCTCCTGGCTCCTGGCTCAGTCCAGCTCAGCCCTGTCTATTGTGGCCTTTGATATGGAAGAGCAATCTCTCTAAATCTTGGCTCTCAATAAATAAAACAAATCTTTGAAAATATACATGTACTTCTTAATATATATATATTTGTTATTTTGTTATTTATTTCTTAATATCTATATATTTTACATATAAAATATATTTATTTACTTATTTTATTGGAAAGGTGGATATACAGAGAGGAGAGACAGAGAGGAAGATCTTCCATCCGATGATTCACTCCCCAAGTGAGCGCAACGGCCGATGCTACGCCGGTCCGAAGCCAGGAGCTTCTTCTGGGTCTCCTACGCGGGTGCAGGGTCCCAAGGCTTTGGGCTGTCCTCGACTGCTTTCCCGGGCCACAGGCAGGGAGTTGGATGGGAAGCGGGGCCGCCAGGATTAGAACCGGCGCCCATATGGGATCCCAGGTGTGCAAGGCGAGGACCTTAACCACTTGCGCCACCGCGCCGGGCCCTATAAAATGTATTTTATCTATTATATTTTGTTATATGTAATATTAATATATATTTAAGACCTGCATTGTGCTATAGCAGGCAAAGCTATGGCTTGTAATTCTCCTAAGGGCACTTGTTCAAGTCTCGCTCCCTGGTAATGGTCTGCGAAAAGCAGCCAAGGTCGGCCCAGCACCTGGGCTCCTAGGTCTGCTTAGGAGACCCAGGTGAGTCTCCCGGCTTCAGCACGGCCCACAGCTCTGCCCAAGGAAGCCACCCAAGGGAGTGAGTCAGAGCATTGAGATCTGTCTGTAACTCAAACAAATAATGTTTTAACACCTTACATTTATATTTTTTGTCTCAATTTTTAATGATTCCACTCATTCACCCAAATTATGCAAATTCTAACACATGCAAAAGTTACACACGTGGGCCACCCACTCGCATCCCCACCTCCATCTACAGCCGACAAGGGCCTCTGAAAGTCCTGAACAACTCGTTTTCGGTTTTCAGATCACATGCAAGCCTCCTGAGAGCCTGGATTTAGGTCTCAAAAACCGAACGGCTCGGAGTGATGAACCACAGACCAAAACAGCAGCAGCCGGTCCTGAACCGCCCACTGATCTTTCTGACTCAAGTTCCTTTGACTTTGTCCTCATGTTTAGAACATGTTCAACGTAGGAACTGAAAGGAGAAATGTGTTGTACAGTTTAAAAAAAAAAATCACAATAATACAAAAGACCAGGTTCAAAAACAAAATTTCAAATGCAATTCTCTGCCGTATGAACGAGAAGACAGACTAGCTTCCTTCTTTTGAAGGACACACACAAGACACATTATGACATGGAAATCATTAGAGGAAAGAAAGAAAAAACGTTGCCTAACTTTCTGACCACATCTAATTATGTGTTTCCTGGTAGAGACACATAAGACAAGGGGGGAAAGGTGCCCTGCTGTAGGCCTCTCTAGAGACGGCACCCTTGGCAACTGGACCTGCTCCTGCACCCAGGAGCAAAGAAGATCAAACACTGAACCCGGCCCTTTGCCAGCAGATGCCCTGCACAAAGAGACCCACTGATGCCAGACATGAGTGCTGTGAATAGGCACATGCGGGGCCTGGCACCAAAAAGCCATTAGATGAGTAAACATGGAGACTGACCCACTCCCTGAGCTCTCCCGCTTGCCCATCACTGTGCTGCCAAGTCTTGCCATGCATCTTTTCATCTGCTCCACGGGACAAAGCTGGCGCTCTCCATTTCCCAAAGAGAAGAAGCTTACGGGGTGAGAGGAGTTGCCCAAGCCCCATGCAGCTCCCAGTGTTAAAAGGCAGGCACTGCCACAGCACGGCTGCAGACAGCTTCCTACTGGGACCAGGGGAACACCAAGCTCCCCAAGGCCCAGGGCTGAAGGCATCAAGAACGGTCCTTTGAAAACAAACATGCCCACTCACACTCCAGCAAACTTAAAACTGTCAGAACACGCAACAGGAGACTGATATCATCCCACCACTTACTGCTCGTATCCACCGTCAAATGGTAGGGTCACTAAAAAAACCAAAAACCCAAAGGGGCAGGTGTTGTGATGGCAGGTTAATCATCACTTGGGATGCCTACATTCCATATGCAAGGGCCAGTTCGAATCCAAGCTACCCTGCTTCTATCCAGCTCCCTGCTAATGTGCATGGGAAGGTAATGAAGATAGGCCACCATGTCAAAGACCTAGAAGAAGCCCCTGATGTGTGGCCTTGGTCTAGTTCAGCCACGACAGTTCGGGCCATCTGGGAAGTGAACAGTGAGTAGAAGCTGACTCCTGCTCACTTTTGCTCTCTCTCTCTCTCCCTCACTACCTCTCCCTGTTTTTCCCTGTTACTCTCCCTTTCAAATGCAATACTTAAGAATAAGCTTAACAACAGCAGTGTAACACTTGTATGCTGGGATCTGTAGAATACTGCTGAGGTAAATAAAAGACCTAAATAAATGGGGAGACATCTCAAGTCATGAACAGAACACTCAATATGACTAAAAACAAAACAAGATCACAAGGGTTTTAGCAGAAACTGACAAGATGATCCTCAAATGTACTTAGAATTGCAAAAGACCTAGAAGAGTCAAAACAATTTTGTAAAAGAAGAACAAACATGGAGGACTTTGGTTCCTTATTTCAAAACTACACTGGAGAAAGAAGCCTCCTCTGCAAATGGTGTGGTGACACCTGACACAGCCACATGCGAAAGAGATCCACAAAACGTAACTTAAAGCTCATAACGGGGCGGGGGGGGGGGTGCACAGCACTGTGGCACAACAGGTTAAGCCACCTCTGTCATGCCAGCATCTCACTGGAGTGTCGCTGGAGTCCTGGCTGCTCCACTTCCCACCCAGCTGGGAAAGTGATGCACCTGGGAAAGCAGTGGAGGACGGCCCACACAGGAGATCCAGGCCCGGCCACCGCAAAAGTTTGGGGAGTGGATCAATGAATAGAAAATTTCTCTCTCCCTCGTCCCTCTAACTCTGTCCAAGAAAGGAAGGAAGGAAGAAACAGTTAAAAACGCATCACAGACTTAACGGTAAGACAATAACAGAATATTTTGAGGACCTTGAGTTACTACTGAAAAGGATGCCAGATGACAGACACCAAAAGCATTGCCCATAAAATAACTAGACCTAACTGGAAAAAAAAAAAAAACCAAACTATGGTGCTTCTAAGAAAGACACCATTAAGAAAATGAAAGCACAAGTAAGAGATTAAGAGAAAATGTTTGCAAAACCTGGATCTGATGAAAGACTTGCATCCAAAAGATGGTAAGAATTCTTATATATCAATAAGACAGATGACTGTAAAGAAATAGGTAAAATATTTGAATAAGCATTTTACCTAAACAGATGTGTGAATACTTAATGGACACATGAAAGAGCTCAATGCCATTAGTCATTAAGAAAATACAAATTAAAACCACAGTGAAATGCCATCTTACAGCTAGGCACAATATCAAGAGCTGGCAAGGATCAGAGAAGTGGGAACCTCGGCAAACTGCCTGGGGATGCAGCCACCTTGGTGAAGCTTAACAGATTCTACCACATGATGCAACAATTCCAAGTGCCCAAGAAAAACAAAGCCATTTATTCATACCACAGTTGCACCCTTCATGCTCTTTAGCAGCACTGTTCACAAAGATTCAAGGTTACAAACAACTTAATTGTCCATCAACTGGTAAATGGATAGGAAACATACGGTCTAGCCACACAATACAATGCTATCTGGCAATTCCAATGCCTGATACAACACAGATTAACGTCAACAACACCTCCTCCTCTCTGTATATCTGACTTTGTAGTAAAAATTAAATAAATCTTAAAAAAAAAAAGAACAGTTGAGTGGACAGCATGTGAATGAGAACACTTGGTAGAACATACAAAACAAAAGGAGTTCCAAACAAAAGTATAGAAACAGTTGATGGGTTTGTTGGTAAGCTCAGTCCCTCCTCCCTTATCCCATATGACCCTCAGTGTATAAAGTCTGATGCCATTGATAAACTTTGACCATCAGAGTCCTTAGGTGTTATTATCGGCTCCGGAGCTGTGCACCAAGTCCATGGCTACAGGAGAGTGACATAAGATTTTTTTTTTTTTATTGTAAAGTCAGATATACAGAGAGGAGGAGAGACAGAGAGGAAGATCTTCCATCTGATGATTCACTCCCCAAGTGACCGCAACAGCGGGTGCTGCGCCGATCTGAAGCCATAAGCCAGGAACTTCCTCCAGGTCTCCCCCAAGGCTTTGGGCCATCCTCTTCTGCCACTGCTTTCCCAGGCCACAGGCAGGGAGCTGGATGGGAAGTGGAGCTGCCAGGATTAGAACCAGCACCCATTTGGGATCCCGGGTACGTTCAAGGCGAGAACTTTAGCCACTAGGGCACCATGCTGGGCCCTC